GTTGAAATAGTGGACCATATATGTTAAACTCAAAACCACTAAATTTTACATTTTTGGACCAAATATAGAATAATTTGGGGAGATTTCACTATTGTAGGAAAATGTTGAGATAAATAGAGATTCTATATGTGAAATTAAAAATCTTGTTTTGATTGTCTAAAGTTAATAAGATACAATTGTGTGAAAATCTCAACTTAGAGGTCTTTTTACTTGAATTGGTGTTAAATGAGGGATATTTTACCAATCAAAGCATAAAAAAAATGTTTTATTAGAAAATTCTCTTCCTAACCTTTATGATTCGAGTAATTAAGTCTGTAAGAGTCTTTAAAACCTGGTACCCTATGGTCATTTGACTTGGGAGTTATCGGTCGAAAATTTGTTATATTGGTCATTTAGAAAGTTTAAGAGAGACAATGTTTCAAATAAAGAAAAAAATTACACATATGAAAAAAATCAAAAAAAGTAGGTGCATGAAATAGAAGACGCATCAAATGCCTTCGTTAAATCCCAAACATTTGTTTATGAAAATTTGATTTTTGATAAAAGATTGTTAACCTAGTTAAATCATAGAGATTGAAATAATCAATTTTAATGGAGAATCCTTATTTATTGAAATGTTGAATTGTAATTGGTGAAATTTTGTGAAAGTAGAGATCTGAGAATAGTTAAAAAATAAAATAAAAAAATACAACCTTAGTTCACACACTGAAAAAGAGTAAAAAGAATAAGTTTGGGTGTGTGTGACTCTTACGAGTGATGAGAGACCATATTTAACCATTGAAGATCGGGAATTGAAACAACTTATGAATTCATAATACTATACTTAATTTTTCACACACACACACACACACATTGATTTTTCATTAAAAAAGTGGATTTTAATTTTTGTATGATGATTTTGAAGCCATGCATAGATTTGTTATTATGAGTTCAATATCGAGATAAAAAGTCAGGTAAGCTAGCCAAATCTTGTTGCTTTACTTGATTGACCGGCCACCAATTAGGTAATTAGTATTGCATGTTTATTATGTTTTAATTTTGTTTGAGGACAAACAAAGATTCAAGTTTGATGGTGTGATAAGTGTAGTTTCTACACTTAAGTCACCGTGGAGTTGCTCTACATTCTATGTGCTTAATCAAGCAGAAATAGACCGTGGTGCTCCTAGACTTGTAATTAATTACAAGCCACTCAATACTGCACTTCAATGGATTCGATATCCTCTTCCTCAAAAGAAAGATCTTTTGAATA